CCCCCGCCCAGTCACTCTCAGCCGCTGGGGCTGGCACTCGAGTCGTGTCAGCCACCCCCTTCCACCTGATTTACACTGAGGAGAACCACACAGTAGCAGCATTTGCTCCCCGCTTCCACCCCGCTCCCCTGCTCCCACCGGGCTCTCCCTGCTTCCTCCCGGCCCCCCTTCGCCCGGACCGGAGCCAGCGAAGGATGCTCCGGAGGTGGCGAACGGCTCGCAGGCCTGTCCCCCATCGTGCCCTGTGTCCCCGGCTCCAGGCAGACACCGGCTGCCTCCTCCCTCTCCCAGGCTGCCACAACACTTCCCCAGGCACCATCCCAAACCCGGGGAGCCCTTTTCCCAAACATCCTTGCCTCCCTCCAGCACCGGGTGGGATCCTCTTCCCCACTCACCACTCCACGAATAATCACAATATTGAGGACCAGGCTCGTTTACCACTTCGTTATCCTCCTGTTCTCCCCCTCCCTTCCTTCCCCCGCTCCCTTGGCTTGCAGAAGCTTGGGGGCATTGCCAAGGAAGCAGCATGAAGCAGCGCCTGGAGTGCACCGCCGCTTCTGTTGCTTCCCAGAGGCATCTGGGATTCATCAGATGGCCCAAAATAGGTTTCAGAGGTGTGAAGAGTGTGTGGCGGAAAGGGTGGGGGAGGAAGGAAGGTGGAAAGGGGGGGGACAAGGTGCTGCTTTTAAAACCCGGAGGGAACCAGTGACAAAGCTCCTCTTGTTATTGTGCAGCCTGCCCCCAGCAAAGCTCCTCCTGACACATCTGGTCCCTGTCAGGAGAAATCATTTCCAGGCCCGGCTGTCTCCAGCTCCTGTCGCCGCAGAGATGCTCAGCCCGTACCCTTCAGCTCAGCGCTGTCAGCGAGGTGCTCGGGGACGGACACGGGTCCCCTGGCTGCGGCCACGCAGACAGCACCGTGCCGAGGATTCAAGATTTCTGCCCCAAGCACTTCCCAACAGAAGGACAAATGTTCCTCTCTGTTTTAATGGGACCGTTTTTTGCATCTGGCCCCAGCACCCTTCTCCCCTGTCCCACCCGTCCCCACCTCTGTGCAGGCTGCTGCAGCACCCAAGCCCACGCTGGGCTCCAGCTGCCCGTTGAGATCAGTGCCCTGCGGCTATCGACAGGGAAACCCCGGGC